GGATATGGTTAATATTTAACCTTTCAAAGATCCACCTTCATAGCCTCCAACAGAAAGCTCGTCTGCACTGTGGAAAACAATCATTTATTTTTGAACCTCTGTTTAACACAAAGTCATTACAACCTCAACAGCTGATAGACGTTTGCAGTATGTTTCTTTACCAATAACGATGAGCCCAATCCCTCCCAGTAATGAACTGCTTTCAGCCTCATCATGAGTGCTCATTATTCTGGTGCTTTACACAAAGTATTGCAGGTTGCTGTAAGGACTTTGGGTCGACAGCTTGTACAGAGTGGAGGACAGCGGAGTTAAATCAAGCTAACAGCGCGGGCCCTGCAGGACCCGTCTTGCTGTAGCAGCCTAAGTTATGGATCCTTCCAGTGCGCTCGGACATTCTTCTTCTCACCTCGCTGGTCGCTCCTGTCCACCAGTGTGATGCGACCCATGTAATAACTATAACACTTCAGTTCATCCTGTAAATTGTGCTGTTTGTGCCACACGTAATGACTTTCCCCAGCTGGTGATTCAATCAGGTTCACAGTTAATGTGGTCCTTTATGGTGTGTGCATGCTGTGCTTCGTGTCAGGGTTTAACCACCTCCAACAACTAAGATGTTTCTATGACGCTGCTGCAGGCGATGCTCAGCAGCGTCATACGTGCACTGAATTAAGAGGCAGTCGGGATTCTGACTCTTTGATTGGCAAAGTTTTATTCTTTGGGGAAATGTTTGAAAGTTCTTGTTGTGTCAACATAATCCTTTTTTTAAAAGTAAACCTTGAACTACTTCTGTCAAATCAATCCAATAAATATCCCAAACTCTCAGTCAGAGTCAGAGGTTTGAAACTGGCTCGTCGGTCTGTTTTTGTCAGTATTTGGTAACTCAGAGTTTCTCTTATTGTCTGCACCAATAGAGATCGATGAAAGTGGCCCACTCCATGTGACTGACGTTGTGTATTTTATTGTGTAGTTTGCATATGTGCGCTCACCTGCTGCTTGGTTTGTGACCCTGCTGCTCTTTGATTTCAACACTATCCAACAGATTTACTGACAGTTTTCCAACGTTGACCTCGGGTGTCTGATTGCACTGAGGTGTAGTTGAGGTTGGATAACCAATCCAGTTCTGAGACTTATTCTGCATACAGGAACACACACACACACACACACACACACACACACACACACACACACACACTCTGTTCCTTACAAAGCCAGCATGGTCA